GTCGGGGCCCATCTCCTCCCGCTCGCTCTCCGTGTCTCGTGGGTCCTCGAAGTCGCTCTCCATGCCGAGACGGTTGTAGCTGGAACAGTCCTCATCGCTGAAGCCGTACACCGGCATTCCCATGTCAGCCGTGACGGAGTCTATCGGGAGATCACAACATGCTCTGTTATGTTTTTTTTTTTTAAACCATTTTCTTTACTGTTTACGTAGGAAGTATATATCAAAGATTTCATGATACTTAAAATAAATAAATAAATAAAGAGATACAATACAATACAATACAATAAATTAGGGTCATCAAAATGTCTAGTCTGTTCTCCCAGAAGAAAATGGCTAAACGTTACGTAGTACACTAGCATATAGATGACTTGACATGGACTATAAGCCACAAAACCTAATTTTCAATTTAATGCAGTTTTCATTTATCACAAAATCACTGTAAAGCAAGGCCTTAAGTTGTTTTTTGTTTCTGTGACATCAATAATATAAATACTTAATAAAAAAAAGCAATAATAATAATAATATTATTATTATTATTGAAAATATTACATAACATTATAACAACAACAATAAAAGTTGTTACTTCTATGTAAATGTTACTTCTACTACTACTATTATTATTATCATTATTGATATATTATAACAGTATACTAATTTTATTACTATTATTAGTATTAATACTACTAATAATAAATTATTACTATTAATTACTATATAATTAATTACTATTATTGATACAATATTATAGTATATAAATATACGTATATGTATATATATATATATATATATATAAAATCATCAATATTATTAATAATAATTATTATCATTATTAATATAAAACAAAGCTATTGTATCAGCTATTCTACAACAGATTATTATTTTAATATTCTAGTATTATATTAATTATATCATTATTCTTAATGTTATTATTATCATTAGTGTTAATAATAACAGTAGTACTACTAGTAATAATAATAATTATTATTATTATTACTATTATTATTATTATTATTATAACTACTATACAACAAGGTTTTCACAAAATCGAATTAGTAAAGTGTATTTTTATACACAACAGCTATTCTACAAAAGCTTAGAAAGTGGGTCATCCAGTTTTTAAAGTCTATTAAAATGATCTATCCACAAATGTTTGGCTGAAGTATGGAACAGTACAGCAAAAAAATTGTAAACTGACTTAAAGTAATTCATATTCCATATCACTGACCTGAGTCCCTCTCAAAACCCACGATCCTGTAGTCATTTTCTCCAAAGCCCAGCTCCTGTCCCAGGAGGAAGTCACTCTCCAGGACCAGGTTTTCCTGATTGCCGACTGCCGCCCCATCTTCAGCTCCCACTGCAAACAAACAACATCACAGTCAACGATAATATCATAGTTTACTTTATTATAAAACAAGTGTCTCATCCTATTTTTAGGCCAATTAAAACTATTAATCCATCCATTTAATAACATTATTTTTACATTTAGACATTTTGTCAAGTAATTGCTTGGCTGAAGTATGGAAGATTTTAGTGATTTAGTCAATTTTCTGAGTGAATGTTGCGTAAAATGGTGTAAAATGTTAATTTAATCATATCGTACATCATATAGCAGCAATATATCAGGCTCCTTGTTCTACTGATACCGCCATTGGAAATTGAAAACTATATCTTAACATTCTCTGATTTAGTGAATTTTATAGATATTACACATTCTAGAAGAAGCCTTAGATGCAGTGTATCTGATAATGATTCTCAGTCATATCCAGTAAATGGGTTTGAGAGACTTGTACAGTGATAAGACTGACGGTTATCAGCACTGGAGCTCTGGAATGAGGAAAGAAATACGTCAGGGATGAATGAAGGAGGAAGGAACAGTGGAGAGACGGCAGATAAAAGGAGGGAGTCGGGTCAGAGATGGGTCCCGCGGCAGGAACAGGGGTCTGTCCTGAGGAAATGCAGTGAGGAAAGAATGACGACAGAAGAGGGGAAGCCGACATGTTTTCACTGAGATAGAGCTGATTCTTAAAGACTCGTAGCTCAACATTAAACAAGGGCTTTGGAAACTATCATTTAGTCAAACTATTTCCTTTAGAACTTATATAAAAGCTCATGAGGAACTAAAAAGAGCTGCTTTCAAACAAAAGGAAAGGTTAGACTTGTGTTTCTCCAATAAAAGCCCACATGATCTTCGATATTAATTTTGACAGAAAAGGACACGGGCATTTTTTCAACATAATAAAGCACTGCAAAAAGCAAGTTAATGGGAGTGAAAATAAAGTACAGTAGAAACTAATTAAATCAGATTTAAAAAAACAACAACAACAATAAGTGTTGTGAAGTGACTCAATATATACATTTTTATAAATTATTTGTATTATTTATTTTAAAAATGATGATGATGATGATTTTGATATAAGTAGTTCAGTCAGTCAGTCATGTGAATAGTCTTAAAATATAGTGTGAAATATCGAAATATGTCGATATTTGGCCATTTTCTTAACACTTAGGCCTATTTCAACAGCAAAATTATTAAATACATGAAAATCGGTGGTATCATTGCAACACAGAAGAAAAGCAGAAGACACTGCCCAACTTAGAACAACTACAGAGAGAGAAATCAGGAGATCTGCAAAACCTACATTTGACAGACTCTGGATTGGAACGTTCTCTAAATATGAAATATATGCTGCTGATTTTTAACATTTGAAATTAAGATCAAGAGAAACTAAAAAAAACCCAGAAATGTCTGAATGAGGTCATCAAATAACTAGAGGCAGACTGAATGTGGGCATCTTTTTATGCTCTTGTTAATAATTATCAACAGAAATAAACACAATCACACTGATTTCAACAATAAAACATGAAAATCAGGCGTTAATATTAAAAAATAACAGAACTGTCAAACTGTGAATTGAAGTGAGAAAGAAATCCAGACTTACATTTGACAGGCTGTGGGTTAGACTGTTTTCTTCTAGGCATTTTTCTGAATGTGTCTGTTTATAATCAGCAGTTCCCTGTTGAACTGATCTTCATCACCATCATCTTCCTCTTCCTCATTTTCCTCTTCCTCTCCCGAACAAAGAGTTCCTCAAATGACTCATAAACCCCGAATTAAACACGTTTTATACTGTGTATCCCCAAAAATCATATCCAAACCTCCAAAAAAACTGAAATTCCCCTGTTATTATTTCAGTTAGCGTGAGCTAATATTAAACTGCATACATAATTCATAGACAAAACTGCAGAAACGCTGTCATATACGACTATATGACTTTTACATCGCGCAGCTGGCGCCTTGAGTCTGTTATCAATCCACATCAATGAAAATGAAGATATTTAGGATATAATTTGTGTGTATCTTGTTAACAGTCGCAGGCTAACTAGCATGACCAGCTAGCCCAAAAAGAGAACATACAATAAAAGTCCCGTGTTTATAACCACTGGACAGCCAGCAGCGGGAATATCAGCGTCTCTCCATGAGGAATTATTCGTCCATGTGGATTTTTATCCCTGTAAAGTGTCTCCAAGTGTTGAAGAAGTGAAAGTGTACAAGTTTCATTGCTGCTGGAGTTGTTGTGATGTATGTGCAGCACAGGAAGTGATTGAAAGTGTTCAGCGCGAAACAGGTAAAACAGCGACACCTACTGGACCATAGATATGTATAGACCGCATTCGACGAGAAGGGTATAACTGCAGCCCGGAGATCTCCAAATGGGGACAATAGTATCCAGCTGCAGTCCCGCCGCCACAGCAGTTTCAGAACCGCAGCCACCGAACCGGAAGTGAGGGGCGGAGCTTACGTTCTTAACAGAGTAGCGCCACCTTACGGTTTTTAAGGGGTAATTTGCTTTTATTACACACAATACGTCATACTTTATATACAGTATGTATGCATTTTATAATGATATATTAAGCATTTTATAAACATTAATCTTGTGTAATTTAGTTGTAGGTCTATACAGTTATTCGTTTCATTGTATTATGCGAGTTATTTCCTGTTTGTGATATTAAAAATAATGTTTGAAACTTCTGGGCATTTTAT